CCTTCCTATTAAAAGAGAGGGAAGGGGTGTCTCTTCCAGCTGACAAGAATCACTCAAAGTGAGGTGTGCAGACACCATGGCCTCTCTCTTTCTTGGACCCTTCTTCTCCCTCAGATTCTCTGACACCACAACTATTTTTATATTTCTCTTTTTCAACCTCTTTTTAGGCTCACAGTCGGCCCATTATGTTTTGGAGGGCCTAGATTTTCTCCTGTCGCTGTCTTGCAAGGTAATTTCATAATCTATTAAGTGACAAAGACATGCAGCTTTTCTCTCTAAATATATTTCGAATGTGTCGGCCATGTCCCACCTTCACTGCCAGGGCCTGTTTCCACAGACCTCCTAAAATGGCTGCCTGGGTGATTCCTAATGACCTCTATTGACTCTTTCTAGTCAGTTTCCACACTGCAGGTTACTGTGTTATTTTGAAAACTCACATTTCCTTGTGTCCTTTGAACGCTTAAAACCTTGCTATGGTTTCAGCGCCAGAACTGTTAATCATCCCCCAGAACTCATCCATTAATAACAGAACCCTCTCCAGCTTACAACAGAGATTCAACAGGGAACAAGTTTGCCCAGCTAGTGACTCTCTTTCCTCGCCTCTTTGTAGCCCAGTGTGGCTAATACGGGGTGAGTAAGGGATGGGAGTGCCTTCTGGCTCCACACAGGAAGCTTCACGCCTTCTACTTACTTCCTCTTCCTGCTCCCCCACGGGAGCTGCCTTGGACTCAGAGACGGAGGCCACTAGTGAAGGATGGCAGAGCTGCTCCACCACTTCAGTGTGCTCTCTTCTGCTGTATTACAGGAAAGGAGAAGAGAGTGAGACAGACACGCAGACCCACACATAGAGAGAGAGAGAGTCATTTTCTTATTCAAGAGAGTCATTCAAGCCTAAGCTGTTCCCTGATTAATACTTTTACCATTGCACTTAGGGTAAAAAACAAAATTCTTAATGTGGCCTCAGAGGCCCTGGGTGATGGGTGATCTGTCTACCTCCTCATTTCCCCTTTTACTTCCTTTTCTCCTGTTCTCCCTATGCCAACTCTCCTGGACTTCTTTCAGTTTTTCAGGGATGCTGAGCTCTTTTATGCCCAAAGCCCTCATACATTTTATTTGCTTTGTCAGAAATGTTCCTCCCTCTGCTACCTCTCACCTTGTTTTATTAACAACTGATCCTTTTTCAAATTTTAACCCTAAGTCATTTTTCTTAAGCAATTGATACCCTCCCCCTGCAACCTGGCCACCACGCCAAAGAATTGAGTCCGTTCCCACATTTAAGTGACCTGATACCACTTTAGTCTTATCCTTTATTTGTTGTGAAATATTTTTTATTAAAAAATACAATATATATAATATATGTATAAGTTAGTTTCCTGGATCCACTTTTTTTTCTTTTTTTTTCTAACATTTTATATATTTGAGAGAGAGAGAAAAAACATGAGCGGGAGGGACAGAGGGAGAGGGAGAGAGAACCTGAAGCAAACTCTACACTGAGCCCGGAGCCCAACTCAGGACTCGATCTCATGACCCTGAGATCGTGACCTGAGTTGAAACCAGGAGTCAGATGTTTAATGGACTGCACTGCTCAGGTGCCCCCTGGATCCAACTATAACACACATGTATGTGTGTTGATTATGTGTAGTTTTACATTCATACATTCCCCTAAACCCATGTTAGTTGTGCATTATAAATATGTTGCCTTGTTGTCTGTGTTCTATTTCCTGCTTTTGTACTCATTATTATGTTTTCGAGATATTTCTATGCTAACAGGTGGACACTATTTCATTCATTTTCCATTTATTCCCACATATGTCCATTAATAGAATCTTAATATTCTGTGTCATAACTCTACCACAGTTTGTTTATACATTCTTTTGTCTATGAACATTTGGCTTATTCTAGTTATATGCACAAACACACGTCTGTGTTACATACATATATGTTTATGTGTTTGTGTATATGTGCAACTTACAAATATTGCTGTCATGAGTACTTTATATATATTTTAAAAAATAAGTTGTTCCCTATTCTAGTTATGATTTGTCTTTTTTTCCCCCCCCCCCCCAGTCAGGAGCCATCAACCCAGGAGCATTTTAAATTCATTTCTCTGGGAGATTTTATTTTATTTTATTTTATTTTATCTTATTTTATTTTATTTTACTTTATTTTCTTCAGTGTAAAAAGGGGGGTTTTATTAACGCACAGGGACAGGACCTGTGGGCAGAAAGAGCTTCTGCTGCTTGGGAGATTTTTAGATCACATAGGTAGAATGATTTTCAACTTCAGTCCTGCACAAGGATTAGACTGTAATGAAAACTTTTCAAGGAAGACTTCTTCCTTCCTTCCATTTAGAGCCAAGATCAAGACAGATAAGTTTGTTTTTTGTTTTTGTTGTTGTTTTTTGTTTTTTTGGATATTTCCCTTTGAGGGACCCCTTTTTTTTAATGTGAAATAACACCTTTATTTATTTTTTTAAGAATTTTTTTTATTTATTTATTCATTTGAAACAGAGAGAGAGAGAGCAGGAGCAGTGGGGAGAGGTAGAGGAAGAAGCAGACTCCCCACTGAGTAGGGAGTCCGATGTGGGACTCGATCCCAGGACCTGGAGATCCTGACCTGAACCAAAGGCAGACGCTTAACCATCTGAGCCACCCAGGACCCCCAAGGGACCCTTTTTTTAAGCCTATAAAATTGCTGTTGTTTCCTTTGGAAAATCTCAACTATTAATTAGATTTCTCCACTGAAGGGAATTGGCTTATTATCTGTCATTAATGTCTCTAATCTGGTCCATTTGGTAGTCACCATTGTAATTCCACCTGGCATTTTGATACCAGCTGATACGGCAGAAGCAACCCACTGGCCTTTCCCACCATATTCCTGTAGACATTGTTTTAAAACTCTGGCAGTTTTCATATTTAAATATATTCAAATTTACTCCCTTCTGGATTAATAATTACATTTTCAAATACAGTGTTCAAGAGTTCTGGGTAGACTGAAAACTTGAACACACAAACACATGATCTTAACCTTTAACGGTATAACGACATGTGCTTGTCTAGCCATGAGTTTCAAAAAAAAAAAGTGCCCCTTTTGATGTTCTGTTTTGTATTTCTTAATATGTTTTTAGTGATTCAAGCCTATAGTAATGTATCATATTTTATTTTGAACATTCTTGCAAAATAAGAAGCAAAAGGTGAACAATTTAAAAAGAAAAACAAAACCAGGTAACAGATTAGACTTTTGCAGGGAGTAAAATACCCGATTTTCTGGTCATTAAAAGCATGCCAGGATGGAGTGGGAATTGAGTGTGGTTAAAGCCCTTGAAAGACGGAGTCCAAGCTCAGATGGGTTGGGACAACGATCCATGTTAGTCTAAGTGACACTCAACACTAGGCAGTTTTCCTACTCTGTGCTCCGTGTGGGAGGAGTAGGGACTTTCAACCAGTCAGCCTTCACATCTTGCCTCTGTTCCTTACCAGCCGCGTGATCCTAGTAATCTTTTCCATTTTCTCGTCTGTAAATGGAGGATATTAAAACTAATCTCACTGGATATTCATAAGGATTAATTGAAATAATCAATAGAACAAGGCCAGGCACACAATAGCTATCAATAATAGTTACATGGTTTCTCCATGGTAGCAACCAAACCACATCATTTTTATGACAGAGAAAAATCAAAGAACCTTTGTAATGCTGTAGAGATTGGATGATGAAGCTTAGATAAATAATAGTTTTTAATTTTTATATTTTGCAGCCACTGTAACATAGATACAATTTATTTAGGATGAAATTGTATGTTGATCGACTGACCAAATAAAGACTAAGTGTTTCTTAATGTCATATAACATGTTTTTTTCCTCCTGGACAGTAGCCCTTTGGGAAGAAAATAAAATAGCTGGATATATACCTCATTTTACTGAAATAGAGTCCAATTGGATTAAAGATATAAATGCCAAAAATAAAAAAGACATAAAGATGTCGGAAGAAAGCATGCATAGATTTTTTAAAAACAATTTTTTAGTGATGGCAGTTTGGCTATGCAGGACATAATGTTTAGACACCACAATGGGTACATCGTTAAATCTGACAACATAAAAATTAAAAATTTCTATACTGAATAAGTAAAATTCAAAGACAAGTAACAAAATGCGAGCACTGTTGGCAGCACATATAAGAAAATGGCAATTAGTACACAAAGAACTCTTACAAATAAAAAAATACTAATGTAACTTTAATGTTGACAAAAATAATATGAATAGACTTCATAAAAATAAATGCAAATAGCGTGCATATTTAGAATGATTTACAAGTTTCGTTGATGTGGAAAAAGATTAAATAGTTTTTATGGGGCGCCTGGGTGGCTCAGTCGGTTAAGTGGTTAAGTGTCTGCCTTCTGCTCAGGTCGTGATCCTGGGTTCCCGGGATTTAGCCATGTCAGGTTCCCTGCTCCACGGGGAGTCTGCTTCTCCCTCTCTCTCTTCCCCTCCCCCCTGCTCATGTTCTTTGTCTCTCTCACGTTCTCTCAAATAAACAAACAAACAAATAAATAAATAAAATCTTTAAAAAAAAGGTTTTCTTGGAAACTTCCATTTATAGAAAGAAGAATAAATATAAATGTTCATATAGCATATATATTAGATATTTTTCTGGAAAAATATCAAGAAAAAATATTGGGAGCTGAATTAGGGATATGAATGTGGAATAGCAGGAAGATAGGAGTAATATTTTTTTGAATTTGATTTAATGTTTTTCTGGTTTGAAATTTCTCCTATGCTCCTGTATGTTTTCTGTAATTTAAAAAATTAATGCAGCTAATATGATGACAAAAGTATATAAATTGTAAAGGATTAAAATTAAATAAATGTCATTAGGAGCCCACAGATAATTTTAAGTGTTGAAAAACGTGTACTATGTGTCTTGAAAGGGAACTGTCAAAACTTGATTTTCTTAGGATGAAATGATGCATTCATTGGTGCTTAATGAGTTTTATTTTCCCCCAGACAAAGTCAAAGGAAGATCAAGAGCAGGGACCCACTTTGACTCAGCCCGGAGACGGAGCCGAGCGGTCCTTTATCACATCTCTGGGCACCTGCAAAGAAGAGAAAAGAACAAATTGAAAATAAATAATGTAGGTGGTATGTGAGTACACTATGAATACTAGAGTTTCCCCTGGTGCCAATATTTGATTCACTAAAGAAAGGCTCCAGTTACTCATTTATTGGTTTTCCTAGATTTTTTTGCACTTTGGTTTGTGCTTTCCTATAAAGAATAAACTAGAAAAGGTCAGCAATCATGAGGCATTTCTGCAATAAAAGTGCTTAATCATAGTGTTATCACAGCACAGAGATTAGAATATTACTGTAGTCAGTACAATATGGCACAGGGGACGCTGTGAATGGTGACATACTGGTTACATTTTATGAACAAGATAATGCACCAAGTCCTATTACACATTCATAGTTTGTTGGTTAAGATTTCTCAAATTTAATTTTAGTTTTAAAATTTAATAAATTTTAAAATTTAAATTTTAAATTTAGTTCCATCTATTTTGCACTTTATCTAATTTCACTTAATGCTTTTATCCAAGAGGACCATGAACAAATCAAAGTCATTACTCCATTTAAATATTCACATCTTATACAAAGCAGAGTTGGAAATGTCACACAACGGAACATTGGATTTGAAATTCTATGCCTTATATCATATGGTTTTGTCAAAAGTTGCACTCCTAGTAAATGACCGTAGGGCTACTTTCTGAAACCTGGGACTTGTCTGTCAAAAGCCACAGCAAATAACTGTGCTTCAAAAAGGTGATCCTCTGCAGAGTTTTACATGACACACATCTTACAGGATTTCACATGAATTTTATAATTAGTTCTTAGCACTGAAAGATGTCACTGAGAAACCCAGAACTCTTGTCTGTTTAGTTATAGATACTCAGAGATACTTTTTCAAATGATGGTAATATAATTACTGTGCATTGTGGAGTCTTCAGAATGTAACATCTTTGTGGGATGTGTGACTATGATGGTAGATACAAATACTCAGGGCCTAATTTACCAGTGACATTAGAAAAAGTCACATCAAACAGGCGGAGCTATTTTGGAATCAATCCAAGATCCAGAAGTTCTGGGAGTTAGGGACACAAGAGGTTTCTTTGGCATCTTACTTTTTACATAGAAAGCTGGAGACTAGCGAATACGCATATGCTGGTAAAACAGCCATGTATCAGACATACAAAGTATCCGCTTCTTTGTAGAAAACAAAGAAAGATGCCTGAGCCAAGGCGGAAGGGGAGATCTGACAAGAAAGTTCTGCAAAGCTATCTCTGCTGCAGTGTGATTTCTTTCTGGAAACCAGAACAGGCTGCTTTGATCCATTTGTGCTCTAGGACCATCACCCATGCAGGTGCCGATCTGCCAGGCACCACCATTAAGAGCCACACGCCGCTTATTTTGGCCTGACTTAGTATAAAGATTTTCAGGGAATACCTGTGCCTTGGTGTCACATTGATTTGCTAAGAGTCCAGGGATAGACTTGAAAGAGTGCACACCTCTTGATCTATGTATGGCTCCTTCCACTGGTTCCTATTTGCAACTCCCTTCAGTTACTAAGCCAGCCTTAGTGACATTAAACAAGTTCCAGGAAGAAACAAAGGTAACCACATCTGGGCTTGATTCTATGCAGGTCAACCAACAAAGCACCTAAACAAATATTAGCCAGAGATTCTATAATGCTGAAAGCTGACACTGTCTTCTACCCTTTAGTTGAAAATCATTTAAACATAGCAAGTATTACTAAGCTTCAAAATGTGTTTGCTGAACATGTTGTTTTTCCCTTTAGATCCAACAAAGTACAGAACAGTACTTAAAAATCTGACTTAAAAAATCATAATTCCCACTTTTTAGCTAATTTGCTAAATTGCCAATCACTTAAAAAATACAAACATGGGAGGGGGAACATTAAAATAATACCTAGAAAGTAAGGATGTCTAATCAACGAAGTGACTCTGACATACAGGTAATATCTTACTTCTAAAAGTAATGTGTAAAATCAGGACTGGCCTTGTTCTCTTTCTCTTTTCAAGGAGAACAGAGTAGAATGGCTAAAGACAGCAGGAAGAGAGAAGGAAGAGGAAAAAATGATCCGGATCATTTATCAGCTGAACAATCCATTTTGGGGGAATTCTGGTTATAATAACATTCATACACAAATTCTCAATATTTTTACAGCTCTTTGCTATTTACAAATTCCTTTTACTTACATCATATTATTTTATTTTTATAGTAAGCCAGTACTAGATATGATTTTTTTATTAATTCCATTTTAATGATGGAAAAGAACTTATTCAAGATCTCAAAAGTAGGAGCAGGATGTGAGACCCTGCTGTGAATCTTCTGACTCAAAGCCATGGTGCTTTGATACAGTTCTGTGGAATAGGAATATATGATTCAACTATAGGCCAATGAACTCATCAGGCCATTAGCCAGATTTGAGCATCAGGATGTAACACCTTTTAGTCCTGGCTCTGACTGCCTGGTTCATCTTAGAAAAGGCACTTAATTTCTGCTTTCTTTGATTTGTTACTGTATTATACGACCATGTGGGGATGCAAGTGTCTCTAACGCAAGGAAATGTAAAGATCACATGAGCGCCTTGGGAGCTTGAAAGGAGAGTACTTTAAATGCCCAATTATTACCAGCTGGATACCAGTGGTCCTCAAAAGGCAAGGCAAACGCTTTCCTGGCACTTGGTGCAGTGATTATAGAAATCTTTTCCCATCTCTTTACTCATTCAAAAGTTAGTTTCAGAGAAAAGTTACAAAAATCGTTTGGGAAACAGTTATCTTAGTTAGGCTTTGGCTTTAACCATTGTGTTTCAATAATTCGTAGAGGTTAAAGAGCTAAAACACCATTGGTACTAAAGAATATGCTTTGAAATTTATAAATAATATATAACTAAAATTGAGAATCGTTGGCTGCATTTTTCCTTAGGCAAACCCTGTGTTTCGAGGTTATAAATAATAGATCTGTTTTCCCCCAACTTGCTAAAAGCATACTTTCCAATTATAAGAAATTTTCTTCCATTCAAAAGGTTTTTTATAAAACTGCGAATCTGGTGTAAGAGGAGAGGAGCAATTATTTTTTTACTCAGGTCAACTTGTCACAATGTGCAGGATTTGAATTAAAAAACCCTTTACAATTTAAGCCTAATCTGAGGTATAATGAATTCTTAGTATCTTTTAAAATAATTTTAAGGAATATGTCTTAAGTACCCTATAAAAATGAAATGGTGTGATTTATTTTCTGACTTGTGGAGAAAACTGATATATTGCTGACTTTTTATGCCAGCATCACTAATGCTTTATGTAATCAGCATAATCCAAAGAAAATACTTCCTGAGTTTTCCTAATCCTCTCTCCCAGAGCTGGCATCTCCCTCAAACAAGGTAAAGTTTTAATCTCTATAATATGATAGCAAAAGACTTACGCAGATAGAAATTGAGGTATTCCCTCATGGCTTTTCTACTAATGTCTTATATTTGAAAAAAAAATTATGTAAGAATCCATCATGTCCTTCTGTAAGCAGAAGTACTTATCAACCTTCAGGTGATTAATACTTACCAACCCTAACTCTCTCTTCTCCTATGCACCTACCTAAACCTTTATGAGAAGCCCAACAGATACACGTCATCTTCCTCTTCCCAGTTTTATGCCAAAGCCCACCCTTTACATTTGTTTCTGGAAACCAGAGGATGAGGCAAAAGAGGCAGGTCAAGTTTGAGGGAATTAAATGGAACAGAGATGCAGTGGCAGATGGGCATCCAAAGAACCTTCTGGAAGTAGTGAAGTAGTCCCTCGCCATGAAATCCTGGCATTATGAGGCGCCTGTGTGGGTTGAGTGAGAATATTAACAGGAAGTAGAAGCGTGTTGGGAATGCTTACCAAGGGGAAAGGTAAGACAGGGGGTGCATTACTATGAAGGTAGCAAAACTATTTGGTCACTGATAGTTACCACTAAAGAGCTAAGTATTCCTGATGGCTCTGACCTTTCTTGAATCCTCAAGTACTTCAGGAATCCCTGAACATTCCACATGAATTTGCCCTTTCCTCAATTGCTGAAACAAGAAAACACAGTGACCTGCAAGTCACATGTATTCCAAAACTTTTAACAGTTTGCTTCATTCAACTTAACTTTCAAATTTAAATTTCCATTACTGATCCTGTATTTCTCATTAATTGAGGTCAAAGTGAGGTCTGCAAGTATCTGGTCATAGGCTTGTCAAATGTCTGCACATGCTATTGTTGGGCCTCCCTTTGTCTCATACCAATAAAGAATTGTGCATCAATTTGGGACTGCCTTCAAAGTGAAGTGCTTTTGCAGTTACAAAACTCCAGCTATTCTTCTGCATTTAATTGGCTGCACGGTGAACACGGCCTTTCTCCTCCTATGACTTGAATAACTCTTAATAGCTGTTAACCATAGAATGTTGATCATACACCTCTATATTCTTTCTGGGAAGAAAAATGGTAACTTTGCTACTATTAGAAGAATTTCAGGTCAAATATACCCTTTAGATAAGGATGGTCATCTCAAAACTACAAGTATATGGAATGTCCCCATGACAATAGGAATATGAATGTATCTTTGTGTTTCCAGTGTGTATAGGATTATACTTGCCACTGTGGATGTTTATAGGTGACATTTTAGGTAATGATCTTTTTGCTCTTGATGAACAAAGTCTGGATTATTCACTTAACATTCATGACTAAATTCTGCATATTCCTGTTACTTATAACAAAGATCTCTGCTCAATTTTAGTATGTACATCTCTACTTTTTGCATCACCAACTTCTCAAAGTCACTTGTAAAATACGTTGGCATTGTGTGTCTGAATGATCCTCCCCACAGAAGTGTGTTTAAGGCTGTGTGATCCTTGCTTCTAATGTTGTGTCTCCCTTCTCTCCTTTTTGTCTTTATCCACAGAATGTTTTTGTAGATAAACCAGCATTTCCGGAGTATAAAGTTTCCGATGCAAAAAAGTCCAAATTCATACTTTTGCATTTTAGCACTTTTAAAGCTGGCTGGGACTGGCTTATTCTGTTGGCAACGTTTTATGTTGCCGTGACCGTACCTTACAACGTTTGCTTTATTGGCAACGATGACCTGTCCACGACTCGGAGCACAACAGTCAGTGACATTGCTGTGGAGATTCTTTTTATTATAGGTAAGAACCACCGGCTGCTTTCCTAGAGGATTTGCATAGAGGAAGTAAGTGTGTTCCAGATTTTTCTGACGTGAATTTGAACTAAGATCCATTTGCATGGGCATGACTAAGCTTCTGATGCAAATTTTGGAGAAGCACATATTTGGATTTCTGAAAATTGCCTCTTCCAGCTTTCTCACTGTTCCTTTAGTCAAACAGATCTAAACCCATGTTTTGTGTTTCCCTATCCTTTTTTTTGTCAGAAATAGGCTAAAAAAGACTTAATGGCTATTTTGCTGGTACTCTCACATCCATCATGATCTTAATTGCACAGAGTCAAAGAGGGGGCTTGGCAAGAACCCATCAGTGGTCTGATAATGGTCCAGTCTTGGGCTTGATTCTCCATCCCCTTCCATACCTTTCTGGCATGTTGGTGGCTGTTGCCACAGGTGGCCTGGTTGCAGAAGCAAAGGATTACATAAGCCTTCCAGTCAATCAAGAGAAGCAGGGAGTATCTGATTTTAACTTTTAAAAGAGGCCCCAAGGGATGCTTGCTAAAAATATTTATCTCTAGAATATTAGGAACCTCAGCCGAAGCTGTCTGTGCTCCACTCTCCTAAGCCTCTTCCTATTTCCTTGTCCCTTAAATCTTCATCTGTTTAGACCAAAGCCTAGCTCTGTCTTGTTCCTTCTAAGACAAATCCTATATCTCCATTAAGGCTTTGATTGACTCCCTGTAGAGGTGTGTGTGTGTGTGTGTGTGTGTGTGTGTGTGTGTGTGTGTGTTTTAGATTCGCAGGAAATTGCAAAGGTGGTACAGAAATGTCCCTTGTCCCTTTCATCTACCCCTGTGGAGTTCTTGACCATCATTGGTAACCTGATGCCTGCTTCTTTACCTAGTCATGGTGATATAGGGCAACATCCTTATTGTAAAGATGAAAAAAATGTTTGGAAAATGTTTTCAAGCATGTAGGTGAACAAAGGAATGAGAAATGAATCTTAAAAGTTCAAAGAAAGAAAATAAATGAGGCAGATCCAGCCCTTATTTCAATGGTGGAGCTGGTAAAGCATTGGGGCCAGAGTGGGTTCTCTAACTGAATGTCAGCACATTTTCCTCTGGATGAGTTTGTAGGCTCTTGGTGTGGCTTTGGCACCACTATTACCATTGCATTGACTGGGAACCTCCCTCCAAGCTGTTTGGACCCCAGCTCCCACCCCAAAAATGGTGTCTGTAGTATGTGTGGACCACTAGATGGCAATGTTGTCTACTTGGGTAGCTTGGCAAGACTACAAAGTCAAGGAAATAGATCTTTACTTTTTTTATTTTGTAACTTAAACCATTCTTCATTGGAAAGGTGTAACTGTAGTAAAGGGATATAAAATCACTGGTAAATGGCAAATAATAACATTCCAGCTTGGGAACAAATTGGGTGTATCCATAGGCCAATCCACTGTGGTTTTGTATCTTTTTTCTTTGCTAACCTTCCATGTCTTCTCCTACCCACCCATGACACATGCATATGTCAGCACTCTAAAAAGACTCCCTGTGACCCGTTCAAAGTTCTCCAGAACATGAACAGTCACTCAACATGTCTCTTATGCCTGAGTATCTACTTAACAAATATCTCATATCATTAATAATAATATTATTATTTACAACTCTGTCATTGGAACACGGTTATATCTTGAACTTTCCACTCTTCCTTGTTCTTAGATATTTGAAATTCTAAGGGCTTAGAAGCCACTTCTGTTCTACGTGCTCACTGGCAGATGATGACACTTGACACTCAGAACTGACACTTACGAGAAAGATGTTTTATACAATTTTAGGGGGTTGAGTTGGTTGGTTGACTTTTTTTTTTAAGTCTGCTTTCTTCTACTAAACCAAGGGAGTCTGGCTTGCCCTGCCGCCAGTTGCCCCTAAATCTTCTGTGTTCTTTGTGACTGATGTTTCTGCTATGCTGGGGCAGCAAGAGGTTCCTCTAGGTAGGCAATACCCACTCCTAACGAGCAGCATGACATAGAAATGGAAATTCACCCCTGTTTTTATGCAGTTTACCTTCTATAAAGAGTACTTTAGAATTTGAGATTTTGGCTGCCAACAGTTTTAGAGTGATCCCAGCCTGGAATCCCTTCTTGACTTGTGTGTGGCAAAATCTGTATGTATATTTAACATGCTTCTTTTCTATTTGTAGAATAGTGTTATTAAACTGGCATCTTATAATCAACAGGGTCAGAACTGTTAAAAAGTAGTTTTAAAAAAGGCTTGGGAAGGAAAGGCTTTGTATAGCAAAACATGATGCTTTCCAAACATTTTCTTATTTGAACCACTCTATATAAATGTAAGGTGATGTGATTATTTTTTAAATGGGGAAAATGAAGTGTTCTGTGAAACAAGAATATATAGTAAAAATGAAACTTGGAAGATAATATATCTCTTTTGGTGATTCAAAATGCGCATTAGCTTTATAAATTCTCTGAGAAATTCAATGATAAAGAAATGTTTAACTGTGATTAATCCAGCACCTCCTAAAGTTATTTTTACCTCCAAACTCATTCCTCTCCAGGCCATTTAGTAATACCCTTTTGAGAAGACTAACTTAAAAATATTCTTCCCTGATAAACTCAAAGTAAAGTGTCTTGAGTGTTATTATGCTAGTCAAACAATAAATACGAATGGTAAGCTTGAATCTCTCCTAACTACTCTCTTAATCTTAAAATAAATTGCTTTGTAAACCACATTAATTCTTTAGGATCAATAGGGCACAAGGTTTGACTGTCAGTTACAAAGTGGTTATAAAATTACTTTAAGTTTGAAAATCATCATGTATAATTTAGCTGCTGACTCAAAGCCTTACAGAAACTTACAATGAGAAGTGACCTACTAGTAATTTATCTAATCTAGTCTTTCTTACTTTATGGGTGGGAAACTGAGCCCTAGTGATATGCCCAGGCCCTATAACTAATTTGTGGCACACTCAGATCTCCTGGTAATCGGATCAGGTTTCTTAAAGGTTGATAACCAATATGCTTCCATTTTCTGAAAAATTCTACTCAACTTGCTTTCTTTTATTTATAGCAAGGAGACAGAAAATGAAAGAAAGAAGTGCCAACTTCCTTCTCTTTCTTCCATGAATGCAGAAATTAATAGTTTTAATCTCTGAAATCTTGGTGGCAAAAATTGTAGTATGCCCATAGGTCCAATAATCACGCCCTTTCCTTATCAAAAACCCAAAGAACCCAATTTTGTGCAGGCAGCAGTATCCTAGATCCAGGGAATGAATTATGAGAATTCCAAGCCAGTGGTAATTCCTGTCCCCTTAGCCAGTTTCAGGTGTAGGGGTAAGTATGTGACCAGTTATATCCAGTAGAATGTATAGAGATTGTTTCAATGAGATCTTTTGGAAATTAATTTTCCCCTGAAAAAAGAAGAGAGATCTTTGGGGGTGAATATTTGTGTCCCTATTCCTTTCTTTCCCCTAGGATGTGTGGATGGAAGGGTAGGAGGTACTAATTACTGCAGCCATCTTTAATCACGAGGAGAGACATAGGGGAGATGATGTGGACTCCTGATTGAGCGATATAATAAAGTTCCTATTATTGGGGCCACTGTTAATTAGATATTTTGTTATTGATAGCTATATTATTCTAAATTTTTTTTAAAAACCACTGTTCTGTCATCTGTGACCCCTTGCACGGAGCCATTTCAGAGGTTCAATGATAAATCCTTTCCAGAGGAACGGAATGCTCTTTCTTTTGTCATTCCACTGTGAGCTTATCTAGGATGTGGTTTGCGCATACTTCTTATTAGCTGTTATAATCACGAAGGCTTAGAGTCACAGACCGTGCCATAAAGCTCTAACTCTGACTTGGTTTCTCTAAGAATCCTCAGAAAGGTCAAAGGAAACATGGTATGAAATTGTACTCTCTACTCTATGTTCCCCTTAGTCAGAAAAGGACATTTGAGAGTCATGTGGGATAAATGGGAGCCATACATTGTGTAGACCATACATTGTGTCATCATACATTGTATAGACCATGAACATCTAGCATCCTTACTACCAGCTATGCACCACCAGTGCTCCCCAGTTAATATGACAACCCAAACACCCTATACATATTCAAAAGGTATTTTTTCCTCAATGTTACGTTTTTAAGGTTATGCTTTGTGCTGATTTAGGTAGTTCTATGTCACTGGTTCTCAGTGGGAACCATTTTAGAAATATGTAGGTTTGATTTTAATTCATTAATCAATAGTACCATCATCTGGTGTTTAATGCTTTTAGATCACAATTTACTTACCTACAAATGACTTTACCCCAACTAATGAATAGAACTTCTCTGCACGTAGTATCTTGTGAGCATGTATTTATATTTTCACTTCTGGTTATTTTATTTTTTTCTCCTTCATAATGCCTTATTAATTAATGCTTCTATTTATTCGCATGTCACCAAATTTTGCTATCTCAGAATCTTTATTTCTTCCTATCATTTAATTATTATTATAACCTTGTGACATAATTAAAACAGGCATATCTGTTTATACATAGGAAGGAAAAGAGAGAAAACAGTAAGCAGTTTATCCAAGATCTGGCTAATTACTGACCAAGCTGGGACTAAAACCCTAAACTCACTTGTACAATGGGTAGTAGCATTATTGTGAGGAGTTAGTGAGGTTATTGTATCAAGAAATAAGTTTACTCACTGTTTAATCAGTACTGATAAGTATTGTCAATAACGTCACCAAGCCTCTGTCTCTTCAGTTTGTTTTAATATCTACTATTTTTCAGAAAACAAGCACTCTTTAATACAAACTGAAAGTTCAGCTAATCGTGGCAATAAGGTAGACCAGAACATTCCACATCCCTTAGCTTTCAAGAACACGAGTGTCTGGGGACTTATTTACCACTTAAAGGATCTAAGGCTTTTATAGCTACTTCTACAGACTTGCCTTAGCATCCTTTTAGAAAAGCTGAGAGAAGATCTCTCACATCTACCTAAGTCAGGCATCCTTTATCCGG